AACAATCAACGTCAAGAAATAGAACGTTTTATGAAAAGTTAATAAAAGAGTTCGAAGGTTTGACAGAGAGAAGAATATCTGATATACTATTTAATTCAGATATTGATGATTGGAATGAAGACACGTCAGTGTTTGATAAACGAATAGTGAGTAAAGAACATATAATAATTATTATTGAAGACACAAAAGGAAATAAGTTTGGAGGATATGTTGATACTAAAATTGATAAAGTTAATAAGTGGATATATGATTCAAAATCATTTTTATTTTCAATAGAGTCAAATGGAAGAATGGATGGAACAATAAACTTTAATATTCAAAGACTACAGCGTTCATTTTATTTATGTGATTCATCAAGCTCTGAATTATTTATTATTGGAGAAAATGATATTTGTGTTTATAAAGAAAAGCATAAAAAATGCTCATCACGTAAATACCGCATTTACAAAAATAATTCAGTAATAAACACAATTTGTGGAATACAACGTGAAAAAGATTTCAAACCAAAACGAATCATTGTAATTGAAATGAAATAATTTTTATTAAATATGGTTTATTTAAGTACCAACCATACAAAGAACAAGATTACTTCAATCACTATCAAATAATATAATGAGTATTTATAACTTAACTTATTTCTTTATTAATTTCATTTTATTTAAAAGAGTAATGAATAATGAAATTAATAATAATGAATTAATCATTACAATTTATTATGTTATATTTCTTATTCTTAATTCTTATTATTTTCTTGTTTCTTTATTATGTTATTATCATTCTTTAATTTATTATATTCAAATTCTTTTATTTATTTACATCATTCTTTATTCTTTTATCTTTCTTATTTTTTGTTTTGTTATGTAACTTGAATATTACTTTTAATTTATTTTAATTTATATTATTTCTTAATTGTTTTATTATTCATTTCATTGTTTGTTCTTTTATTTGTATTTATTTATTGTATGTTTGTTATTTGATTAATATTTTAATTTATTCTTTTCTGTATTATTTACTCTTATTTTATGTATTTTCTTTATTTCTTTTTCTGTATTATTTGTCTTTTGTTTGTTGTTGAAATATTGTATTTGTATTCATTCATTTCAATATCATTTGAATGTAATCATTTGATTATTGTTATCCTTAATTTTCATTTTATTAATCTTTGATTACTCGATAAATGATACAATGAAGATAATATTCAATTTTACACAGCTTAATGAAATTATAACATCCTACTGGATTATCTTCTGTGAATAAGTCAATTACAACATTCCCAAGACTTGTTTCAATAAACACACTCATTTCTTTTTTTCAAGTTCTTTTTGTTTATTTCTATTATTTGTATTGTTTATTTAAAAAAGAAGTGAATTAAAGATTTTCGATGATGTAGTCAATGTGGATGCAATACATTATCATTGTACTGATAATGTCACTGTAACATTTCTTGATACTTTCCTATTTTCTTATTTTCTTGTATTTTCTATAAAATACCATATTTAACAAACAATACTTCTCTTTCCTTGTTCATTCAACTGATAGTTATCATCATAGCATTTTGTGATGATATTGTAATGTGCATCTTCTATTAATTCAACTTGTTTTATCAAATATTCATATCCTTTCTCTGTTTCTTTGATTTTTGTTCCAATTTCTTTCATGATATTCATTTCTCTCTGATAAAACTCCTCAACATCTTTATCATTCATTCCGATCATCTCATTAAGAATCTTTTCCATATCATTTCTGATTGTTTTATATGTTGTGGTTATTGGTTTATTTCCTATTTGGAAAGTAATTATTGTCATGTTCTTTTTTATGATTTATCAAGTTCTTATCAACTAAAAAACAAAAAAATATCAATGACTTTTAACTTTGAGCAAAGAATTTATCTATCTTCTCTTTCTTAATTGTAATCTCTTCTTCATTAGTTGTTTTATTTTGTATTATGTTTTTTATTTACATTGTATTTATTTGATAAATTAAATGATGAAGTATACAATGTAATTAACTTAAATGAAATCAGTCCTATCATTAATATTTGTACTGTAGTGCTAGTTATAATGATATTTTCTTGTATTTAACTATTTTAAAAATTATAGTCAATTTACAGTAATGTGATGATTAAATAAATATTAGTATACACTCATTATAACAACCGATTATATTTTTATATTCAGAATGATCAAAGAGTTCTTTTGTACCTAATGAACATATACTTTCAATTGAGAATACTATTAATTGAATCTCTATGTTTGTATAAATTCTTAGAATTGAATTGGTTATAATAGTTAGAACACAACGCTATTTCATAATTATTT